AGTTGGGCACTATTTCTGTAAGCAGATAAGCTAACACATGCCTTTGCAGTGGTTCAAATATTTACCAGTATGCTCACTTTTAAGAGTAAGGCTTTATCTGTCTCCAGTCCAAAACCAGTTACTAATTTCTCAGAACTGCATTGTGAAAAGGTAGAACTGATAGCTCAAAAATTTGACATAACTTTAAAAGAGATGAATAAAAAGGTAAGCCTGTCAGCTTATTCTTTTAAGATTTCTCTTAAAAAAAAATACGTATGACGTAGCAGTGAAAGAAAAATTAGACAATATTCCCAGTGATAGAAGCTTGTAAACAGTAGCCACTGTGCACAGCAAGACCAGGACAAAATTAAGTATTATTAGATATAATAGTGCACTTTAATCAAATTTGTTATACTGGGTACTGCCAAACATGGTGAAATCCCACTGAAGAAACAAACGCAAGTCAAAGTCTAGTTGCTCTATTGTATTTAAAAGGGTGAGCATTTCCTTGAAGGAGAAAATACAGTAATTTAATGGGCCTATTGATGCCAGACACACATTGTCAGATCCAAGCAACTGCTGCATGAGACTGGTCAGAGACCTGTTTGCTGGAGATGTGAGCTGGGCAGGCCTGCATGGTAGGCCAGGTAGTGAAATTACCCGATATCAAAAAAAAATCATCATATGTCAAATGAGGGGTTTCTACACTTAACCTTAGAACTGTACCATCACCATTTCCTATATAAATGGTTGCTGTTATAGTAAAAAATACACATACGGAGTTATTGTAGCCTTAGGGTTCTGCAGGTAAGTACACCATTATGTTTCTCTGCGAAGATTAGGCCTGAAACGCTGTATTTTAGGTGGGAGTATTTAGGATTTTACTCTCTAATAGTATCGAAGCTTTTTAAAAAGAAGGATCTGGGAAGCTTCGGGAGTTTACATTCTTCCCACATCGCTACACCCAATTTTCAAACCACGATCTTACGGTTTTCTAAACACGCTGTTATCTATCAGACACTAGATAATTTAAGGAGCCCTGTTTCTTGGCACAGAAGGAGAAGGTACACTGGTGCCTTTTCTCCATGTTTGCTCTTTGCACTTTCGCTTGCCCTGTCCACAGACATTCCCCATGTCCCTCAGATATGTGCCGAGAGCTTTATCTCTTGCTTTTTATGAGAAGTTGTAAATACACCACCACTCTCACATTCTGACACACGACTCAAAAAGTGATTTGTTGTTGTTGTTGTTGTTTTTTGGTGTTGTTATTGCTGCTCTCGGGCAAACTAAACTCAAGGTCGTCTTGTAGCCGGGGAGACTCAAACCTGAACACAGGACTGTTTCGGCTTTGCTCCAGCAGGCTTCTTAAAACAGGCAGGTTCCTGTGCCAAAACAAAGCACGGCTCGGCGCCTTAGGTCACGAAAAGGAGGGACGACACTGAGCTAACCTGACTGGTTTAAACCCAGCTGTTTTAACTCTCCGGATAAACCCGCTGGCACTCCAGTGCCAAGAAGAGCTGCGACGTTTGCCCATTGTTTTACCCGTTAGCCAGCAAGCATGACATCAGGGGAAAGATTTATATACATATATATATATATATATACACTCAATAGAGGGAGAAACGCGCTACTTTTTTCCCCACCCCAGAGCGCGGCGAGCGGACAGAGCCGTGTTTATCGTTGCTTTCCGTTTGCTCCCCCAAGCCCAGAACGGCAGCGCAGGGCAGCGGGGTGCTCGGCACCGCTGGATTGTTTATCCCGCCGGGCGAGTTTTGAGAACAGTGACACGGCACAGACCCCGGCTGGGGACACCCGACCCCCGGGGGCTGTCCCCGGGAACCGCCGCGGGGGGACGGGACAGCGGGACAGCAGGACGGGACAGTGGGACACCGCCGGGACAGCGGGACGGGACGGGACACCCCCCTCCCGCGCCCCCGGCACGCCGCCCTCACCCGCGATCCTCAGGCAGGTCTCCGGCCCGGCCGGGAGCAGCTGCCGCCGCTGCCCCTCCGCCGCCGCCGCCCGCGGCGCGCCCCGGGTCCTCTTGAGCGCGGGCGGCGCCGGGGCTGCGCGCGGCGCCGCGCCTCGGCCCAGCTCTTCCGCTTCATGGCGGCGGCGGCCGCGCCGCGCCGGGGCCCTCATGCCGCGGGCAGCGAGGCAGCAGCAGCGCAGGGACCCCGAGCGGCTGACGCGGCCCGCGGGCACCGCCCGCTCCCGCCCGGCTCGGCCCCGCCCGGCACAGCCCGCCCGGCTCGGCCCCGCCCGCCTCAGCGCCGGCGGCCGCCCTGCTGGGCCCGCGCGGTGGGGGCGGTGGGAGCGGCCGGAGCGCGGGGCGGGCGGGGCGGCGGGGCCCCGGTAACAGGTGGGCCGGGGGGCCCGGGCCGACCCCCGAGCGCCGCCCCGGCCCCTCCGCGGCGCTGCCGGGAGGGGAACGGCGTGACCGGCACGGCGGGGACCCCCAGAGCCCGCTCCCCAGTGCGGCCGGAACGCTGCGGGGGAGCGCGGCCCGCCGCCTTCCCTGGGGCTTCGCCGCCTTCCCTGGGGCTTCGCCGCCTTCCCTGGGGCTTCGCCGCCTTCCCTGGGGCTTCATCGCCTTCCTTCCAGGCGCCCCGGGTACCGAAAGAGGGTCCCCAAGGGCATCTGGTGCTGTAAGGCCAGCAGAAACCAGTCCGGGACACTTCAACCTTCTGCGCTGAAAGCGGAGAGTTGAAATAGCTGGGTTTAAATCTGCTTCTTAAGACGCAGCCGTACTTTAAAACACAGTTGTATGAAATAGGTGTTGTCATAAATCAAGCCAGTAGTTAGAACAACTTCTGAAAACTGCTGCCTTCCCTCCTCTGTCTAATTGGCCTTGATGGCAGAAAGCCCTTGCTCGAGTGTTCTGTCTGCTGAGTGCGGTGATAAACACTGTTGACTTCCACCTTTCACTGCGTTACATTTCTTAAAATATTCTTGCTAAATAACCCCAGAGACCTAAAATTCTGCTGACACTTCGAAAACCACTAGTCCCAGCTTCGAATGCGGCCGTCGTTGTTCCAGTTCATTACGCACGTGGCAGTCAGTGTCTCGCAGTGAACTCTGTGAAGCTGTGGCCAGAGAGATGCAAAATGCGGGGCCTATACCCAGATTAGGGCTGCTCTTCTTCCAAATCCTCCTCTCTGTCTTCTTCCCTCTTCTCATTTGTCTGCACTTTGTGAGCCTTTCTGAAGTGATTTTGCTGGGATAACACAGAGGCTGTGGTGTGGTTTCTGTCAGTATTGAAATGGTGAGGGTGGATGACTTCAGCCCCCAGAGCTGTCAAACTACAACTTCATTCCAAGCCCTTTTAATAGCCCACAGTTCTTTTAGCTGTAGCTAGTTTTGTTAAATGTATTTGTTAGCAGCAACAGAACTATTACCATTGTTTATTAATCTTACTAAAAGAAGCCAGTTAGCCAAAAACTTCCCTTAAAATCCAAAGCACTGAGTGAAATGATTGCAAAACAAAAGTGGAACTGGAGTCAGTGTCCTTAGCTGTGATTATCAAGTGAATGAAGCAGAGTGGAAGCACTACAAATAAACTGGGTATTCATCTTTCTTTCTCTTCAGAAATAATTCTTTTTCTGTGTTTATTGTCTTGGTTTTACAGCCGTAAGACCAGTTTACCAGCTTGCTTTTGGCTGTGGTTTCAGTAACAGAGAGGCAGACGTGTTCCAGGGTTCCTGACATACTGAGAAATACCAGTGAGCTGGGGGAGTGCTGGAGGGAGGGGGCAGCTCCTGATTTGTGAATATTGGAGCAGTGGTTCACCAAGAGCAGAGTTCGCTCCCCTGTGAGCCTCAACTGCCTGTCCCAGCCTGTCATGCCCAGCTCTGAGGAGGCCTCTCCTTAGCCCTGAAATCAGGTGGGTTTGGAGTCTGCAGGTGGCTGCCTTCATCCCTGTGCTGAGTGCTCTTTAGTCAGAGCAGTACTTCTGCATTAATAACACCCTGCTTCGAAACACATTGTATCAAGATGGGGATGTAATTAATAACTTGCTAAGGCATAGTACCTTTAATAGAATTACAGGGCTCGGTATGTTTCTTAAGCGAGCTCGCTCTTTTGCATCAAGGAGCTCTGCATTTAATTTCTCGTGCTTTCCAGTGCCTGCTGGTGACCTTAATGGATGTAGGAACAAACCTCTTCACAAAATGCCACTTTAAAATTGCATTAAATCTTAAAAGGGGAGAGAATTTTCAGTTGAAATATGTTTATACAGTAGCATTTTACCGAAGGCCAAAGATCAGAAACTGCAGAGGAGGATATGCTCCCCCATAAATCTTGGACAGTTTTTTATTTCAGATTGCTAAAAGAAGCAGCTGGTGGACGAAAGAGGGCACATCTACTTTAATGAAAGCAATAATAATAATAATGGCCAGTCTTCGCGAGCGAAGATCCGGGGAAGGTCTTTACACCTTCCAGCCTGCGCATTGGATTTTTTAGGTGAGACACAGTGTGCACGGAACTGAGCCCACCCTTTAATCCTAAGGTTCATCTGCCGGGGCCAAGCGAGCTTGGACGGTGGCAGCGAGGTCCTTAGGACGTAGGTGGGTTGCCTTTAAGGGCTAACGAGCCCCACCTGCCCGGGAGTGGCCCTGACCGGGAATCGAACCCGGGTCTCCGCGGTGATAGCGCGGCGCCTTTACCACTAGACCACCAGGGGCTCCTCTGAAAGCAATAGGCTCTGAACATAAACACTTCTAGAAAAATGGATAATATGAAATCTGACAGAACCGCAACCCAAACTGCTGTTGTCCTTAGCTCAGTTGTCTAAGACACAAACAAATAAGGAGAATTTATTCTGAGACCTCTTGCTCTGAGAGAAAGTACATACATACAAAGAAAGAACATTCTGCTGTAAATCTTCCTAGGAAAACAAGTAATTGACTATAGCTTGCTCCAAAACCAATAGTCTGATCAGGTGTATGTTTAAGACACACTTCTCCCTAGTCCTACAGACCCACATTTTTGTTTGACACAAAATAATTGCAGACAACAGGTGATGTATTTAAAATATTTATTTAAAATTATGAAAAGTATTTCATAATGTCTGCCACCGCATAATGTCAGATGCAAAAGTAGGCATAAGCCTAAATCCCCGTGTTCAACACTGTGACTATTAAAAAAATATTTTAATACAAGATTGTCATACGGTGCTGGAAGCTTTAAAACAGTGCTGAGAAGTACTGGATTGAAAGTCAGTGTTGATCTGCTGAAGACATGTTCTTCTGACCAAAATAGGATTTTTTAGTTTAGTGCATCTTGAAAAATGATTTTAAAAGTATATTAACAAGATTGTTTGATGAGACAGTAATAAGCTCCAGGATTTTTTACAATCAGCCTCAGTTGTGCTTTAGTTTTTATTATCTTGTACTCAATGGGAATAGCACTTTTGTGTCCATCTTCAGTGCCAGGTAGTTTATTCTGTGCTCTCATTTTCTAGATAAGGTGTCAGATGTCCTACAAAGACACAACATTACCAATGCTTGTTGGAATTCACTGGAGAATTGTTCTTGTAGAGCACAAGTTTTAAAAAAATTATATATTATGTCAGCGTCATATGTCAATTATCTGGGGTTTGTTTGAAAAATTCACTGGTTTAACTCCTGCCAGCTGCAAAACTGTATTAATGGGAACATGATCCAGCCTGTTTTTATCGAGGTGCAAAAAATGAACTTCATTGCCTGGAAAGGAATAAGAATAACATGTAAATTACTGAATAAAATATTTATTTATTCAAATATGTAAGTGAATCAAAGCAGCATTCTGACTTTGTGCTAGTACTTGTACAAATGTGTACTAGCTCCGCAGATTGCACAACATACTGTATTTTAAGCAATGACAATTTTTTTTTAATTATGTTAAAAAAACAAGGAACATTGATGCACCTGACTAATCTAAATCTGCTGTAGCATGATGCTTCCTAATGATGTGAATGACTGCCCTGTTGCAGCTCCCCCTTCGTGCCCTCTACTAAACATCAGATGCCTTGAATCAAATGTGAAAACAGACTGTAGGTAAACACCACGATGCCAAAAAAACACTACAGATTTCGTGGCAGTTTTTCCATCAGCACTCCAGTCAATTTCTGCAGGACTGTGATGAGCTTTGTGCCACCTCTGTGGGAGCTGGGACTACACAATGACACTTTGCAGATTCCTTCATGCAACAGAAATCACACAGCTGTACACAAGAGTGTCTCCTCGGAACCCACAGGGACAGCGGGCGAGACGGCAGCAAACAGCTGAGGGAGACAGCTGTAACTTTCACACAGAACAAAGCAGCTCACCTGGGCCTATAATCAAAGCTCCTCCCTGCTGAGCAGGGTCTCCTTGGAAATCAAAAGCCGGGCCAGTCATTGCTCTCCATATGCTCCTCATGCTGCCCAGAAGTGTGTTCGATTTCACGTGAGGGCTCCGCACTAAACAAAGCCACAAAATATTGTTATCTATAAATACAAAAGTATGTAAGAGCAAGAGCACTGAACAGCTGCTATGAATAGTTTAGAGATTACTGATTACCAGCATTTTCACAAGAGACAATCTAGTGGGCAACTCACTTCCTATTTACTCTGCAGTCATACTATTTTATCAGAGCATTCATGTTTTGTTTGTGTAAGTCCAAGTAAGGTGAGAAAATTATTCTTACCTGATACGTTACTACCTTCACCTCTTTTCATGCCAAGCGTTTTATAAATTTCCCTTTGTGGATCTACATACATTTCATGTGTATACCCAGTTAAACTGCAAAAGGGCTGCAAAATATATGTATACACACACACACAAACAAAAAAATAGTATTTTTAAGGTTAAGGCAGTGACTGGTTAGGGTCTGCTGACAACAGAAAAAGTACTGACTCCCTGCCAGCTCCACCCTCCCCGCCTCTTATATGGAAGCTGTGTATTTGTCATGTTAAATTAAAGGCCAAAAATTTTCAGCCTCAAAGCTTTTATTAAAACAAAGCTTCCAGTGAAACCAAGAAAAAATGTTTCTTAGCAAGCCCTAGTGGTTTTTAAATTGAAAGTTTGAGTTATTTGCTCAACTGCCTCATGAATACTGTCCTTTTTTTCTGTAGTTGCAAAAGACCATCTTTTCACTCAGAGCAAACCCCTCAATACAGACCATTAAGACACAAGAGAGGAAACCTTTAGCGACTACTTTATTTACCTTGATGTGATGATAAGATGACTGCCCAATAACTATGAGCCTCACGTTTGCTTCCTAGAACAGAACAAGGGTATTGAAGTTGTAAAGAGAAACTCGCTGTTTCTGCATGACTTCAAAGCATTAGCAGAATCTGGTGTCCTGAGTTAATAATCACAGTGCACTGAGTTAAAAGTATTTGAAATTAAAATCACTTACATGTTTGGAGACTTCACCTTAGTCTGTCACCCACGGTCAGAAGCAACATTAATTTATTAAGTGATAAATTATATTTAAAGACAACTTTTAAATTACAGATGTGTAAACTTTGAGTTTCCTGTAGCATTGGTGGCATTCTCTTTTTGATTGCAACACGCTATGATTTTGGAAATTCAAAATTTCCGCTCAGTTGCACCTACCTCTAAAGAAGCAGCATGGAAATGTTGGTGCCCAAACAGCTGTGATTTATATCTACAGACACACATTAATAGATATAACTTGCATTCAGACATACTGCTGTCTCTTGCAGGTGCAACATTAGGCCTGAGCCTAAAACAGAGGCCAAAACTTGAGTTCATTTAGATGCCAAGTAAAAACGGTTAATAAAATATGAGGTAGTTTCATTAGCGTGTAATACTTGCCTTTCCCATACAGAGTCATTTTGCTTGTTATGAAAAGAAGCCCTCCTAGAAACAAAATACACTAAGAAAAGCATGGACAGATTTTGATTGTATATACATTTATTTGAGGAGTTAAATTAAGAAAATGTCGTTCCGAGTACCACTGGTCCAGTTTAGAAATATCTGTCCTGAGAAGAGAAGCTGCCAAAGACATTTCCCCTTTTTATCCTCAAGTTCCCAGTCCATCTCAGATGGACTTAGATGGACTTGCTGTCAGCAATGACCTGAGTCATTGGCTATGCTGCTGTTGGGAGTAAGATATGACAGAATTTCAATCGTCAGTCTGGAAGAGACAGATTGACCTTCCACATTTAGCAGGAGATCGTTGTCTTCTCTGGTGTCCCCTACCACCCACCAAATACCTGTCCACAGCACCCCCTGCCCACTCCTCCTTTCTGTCACTGTGTCATTCCTGTTTGAGCAGCTGCCCAGAGAACAGGTCACACTACTGATGCAGCTTACAAATAACCATAGGAAAAGATACTGCTTTTAATCCAGATCAATTTTCTGATCTTGTTCCATGCACAACCATCAGTCAGCCCTGCCAGCATAATGGAAAGGGCAGTAGTTAGCAGTCAGGAGAAGACAGCTGTCCAGGGCACTACTAATACCAGAAGGAATGCCTGTCAGATGTTGTCTAGCTGTCCTAACACAGCAGTAAAAAGAGCACCAAGCTAATAGGGCAGGGAGAAATAATGCTGCTGCAACAGAGCGTGTAGTGCCATAAATCCTTTCCTGTGTTTCCTAGGCAGATTCATTATTGCTGTTGTAGCAAACAGTGGAAGTGCTTCTTCTGAGCCACTTTTTTCTTCCTAGAAGCCTCATGCAAGCCTGTAGCTGGACATAACAAATCAGATCGATGGCAGTGACCCCACATACATATTAAGGGCAGGATACTTACTTGTAGAAATGCCTTGGGGACTTTTGCCAGATCTTCTACATATTCTTTACAGGTGTAACACAAAAAATTCTGCAACATAGCCAAGTGGATGTGTCAGAAACAGACTTAATTGCATAGCAATGAAGACACAGATTACTGATTTTGGGCACACAAAACTTTGGAGGAGAACAGGAACCATGAATGAGAAAGATTCCAGTTCTTTGAAGTCACCAAATCTGGATTAGGATACTGGTTTAATCCAAGCCTGAACAAGGACGCTGGGCCTGCGGCCTTGCTCATATTTTTATCTCTAGATATCGCAGGAACGCGATAGCTGGCTCAACAGCTGGGAAATCAGCGAACGCGACACTTGTTTCCCTAAAAAAAACCCGCGGCTGAAGAAAGCATTGGCCTTCTGGCAGACAGTGTCACCACTTTACCCCAGGACCGCAGGAGCCGCTCCGCGCCCTCCATCCCCGCCGCGCGGCCCCGCTCACCCGCACGAACAGCACGATGGCCTTGCGGTCCCGGAACAGCGCCTGGAAGGGGACGCTCCTGCCCTCCCGGTCCAGCAGCAGGCAGCGGGCAGCCTCGCCCAGCCCCGCCGGCTCCCGCCGCCCCACGCCCCGCGCCCGCCCGACCTGCTGCGTGACCGGCGGCGCCCGCGGCCCGGCCATGGCCCCGCCGGCCCTGAGGCGGGAGCCGGGGCTGCGGGAGGGGGCTGTGGGGCGGCGGGGCAGGGACGGGGCGGGCGGGGAGCGCAGCGGGCCCGGCCCGTTCCGTCAGGGGGAGAGCCGCGGGCGGCCCGCAGGGGACAGGGAGCTGGCGGGGGAAGGAGCGAGGGACCCGCAGCACGAACCCTGCGCGTCCCTCAGCCGCTGCCAGCGGGTACTGTGCGCCCCGAAAGCTTGGGGAAGGCACGGGGAGCCTGGCCCGAATGGCCCAGCAGGGCCGCGGCCGGGCCACCTGGGCTCAGGGCTGCTGGCTCTGCCCGAGCTGCAGAGCGCTGTGAGAGCGAGAAAACCGCACCGGGGCTGCCGAGACACACAGAACACACGCCAGACACGCTCCCCTTGTTCTAGCAAAAGCAGAACCTCACGGTTCTTCGGCAGCTGAATAGCAGAGGGTGCTGAGCAGCGCAAATGCTCGTGTGAGCGCATCGTGTGCGCGCAGAAGTGAGTGAACAGTTTTCCCTAAAATAAGAACAGTAGGCCGTTTGAGAGTATCATCGTCTCTTGGATTATTGTGTTAGCTGAAAACTTATAAGGACAAGAGCACTTTTTTTGTGGGGCGGAGAAAAAGATGTATCAGAGAGAATAGGACCGAGGGGACCTCCAGAAGTTACTCTGCTTTGTGAAACTCTCTGACTATACTAGCTCCAAAGTTCCCTGGCAAACTGTCCCAGTGTCTGCATGTTAATGTTACTCAAACTTACATCCCCTATGCTTTGGATTAAGCTGCTTTTATACTACCAGGAGCGAGCACAGAGAGCAGGTTGGGTCTCGCACTTCAGTATGTCCTCACAAAGACTTTGATTTAAAAGCTGAAGAATTAAAATTAGTAAAAATCAGTAAAGAATTTCTGAAAACTGTGAAGCTTAACATTCTGCTAGATGCAGTTGGACCCAATGATTTTACAGGTCTTTTCCAATTTAAGTGATCCTATGACTGTGATAAAAATTAAGCAGTATTAATTCACCGTTGTTGTTTTCATCAGGTTTCTTTCTTTGTTCACTTAACAGGTATACATTTTACTGCCCAAAACATTTCTTCTACTAGCAGTCCATAAAGAAAAGTGTAGGTCGTGCAGCAGCCCTCTGCAGGCCCCTCAGCAGTACCGGTGGGAATGTGCTGCCTACCCTTGACTCCTGCAGGACACCGCAAAGCAGAGAGAGCTGCCGACTTCTGACAGGCTTTGCTCTTGATCTGGAAGCTGAAGTGGACAGGCCACGACCTCATTGTGTTACTGACGCAGTAAAACCTTTGGGCAGCATTAGGCAGGGCTCAGGGGCACTGCTCAGTACTTGATCATCAGCAGAGCTTAGACCAGGGCCCTTGCGGCTGGAAATGAGAGCCTGCCCTGCAGTCACACCACTGTAGGGGATCTGCTGCCACAGCCTCCGAGTGGGAGCACAGATAAGATTAAGACTGGGCAGTCTGGTGTCACAAATGCAGATGATACTGCCCTGGGTCAGCCTGCATGTAGCTGACCTTATGTCTAGTGTCTAAAAAGCTTGTTCTTTCCTGATTGGATATGAAATCTCTTGAGGAGCCCAGCCTCTCTGGGAGAGCTGCTAATCATTCCTTCCAAGCCAATAGAGACTGCCTGCAGACCTTGCTTTATTTATTCTATTTGGCCTCCTTAAACTAGCTGAAGCTGCATATCCTTAACACCTGCTTTCAGCAGTATGCAACTGAGGAACAGCTGCTTTCTGCTCAGGATGTTTGCCAAAGCATTCTCTAAACCCCTCAAAAAAAAGTGTTTCTAACTTTTGATGGTGATTCTTAAGTGCTGCTAGAATACAAATACTGCTGCCACCCCCAGTTTTACAGGGAAAGAATAGAGGCAAAGGCAATTGTACATGTTCTCTGGAAGAGGAGACACTCAAAATTAGCAGTCACTTTTTGAAAGCTGAAGTTTAAAGTCTTTATTTAACATAAATGTAACAAAAATACACATATAAATCCCACTAATTTGGTGAGAAGAAAAAAATCCATATCTGTTGATATACTGACTGTCTAAGAGTGAAGGCTACTAAAACCACATAATTCTTCAGCATGTGCTGTGAATAGGGAAACTTCCTCTTCTTTCCCCTTTTTTCTTTATTGCTCACAAATATAAAAATGTGGATAACTTACAAAACACACTTGTCAGCGTGATGCATTTTTCATTATCTTAAGGAGAATCAATTAGTGCATTTGCATTATTAATCGTGATTCAGGATGGAAGTCACTGTCTTCACTGCAGTGCAATTTACGGTTGAAGAGAGAAACTTAGCTAATATTTAATTAATCAAGAGTTGGGTTACTTTGTGCTGTGAGTAAGAAATCCAAATTCCTATCACTTCAAGAGGGAGAGCAATAATTACACAAGGATGCCAGTTAATTTATTTGTTCTGTATTGACTAGTGAAACAAAATACCAGCTGTAATTACGCAGCCTTAATTTCTTTATTTACAGCAGCTGAACAAAGTATCTGACAACAGAGGTGTGACCTGTGTCAAAACCATCAAAGCTCTCTAAAGTATATGGCCTTGTTTTGTAAAGCAACATGTTATTATCAATTTACTGCACAATATACTGTTTATTTAGCAGAAGGGTATTTGTCGTTCTTGTTTATCTAAGTATTGTTTCACTAGAGATAACGTGGTTATTACTTATCCGCTGAAAATAAATTAGTGTTTACAATTCCAGGGTAAAAGCATCACGCTAAGTGCTAGCTAATAACGAGTAGTTTTCAAACTGCTGTTGTAATTAATTAAAAAGGAATAAAGATGTTTACTGTACTGCAGATAAGATGGATTCTTCCCTGTGAGGGTGGTGAGAGAAGTGTCCCAGAGAAGTAATGGATTTCCTGTCCCTTGGAAGTGTCCAGGGTTGGATGGGGCTCTGAGCAACCTGGGATAGTGGAAGGTGTCCCTGCCCGTGGCAGGGGGTTGGGACAAGATGCTCTTTAAGGTCCCTTCAACCCAAACCATTCCATGATTGCATAAGAGCTTTTTCCTTTATGTCTGCCTTTCATTTTTTCCTTAGAGTCACAATGTCCTGGGGGTGTGCTGATTTCTTATGCTGTGCTTAGTCACAGCATCATGGGAGTGATTCTTCCGAACAGCAAGGGAAACAGTTTGCAGCCTTGAAAGTGATTTTGCAAATGCTGGGTTCATCTGCATTTTTGCTACCCGGTGTGTGTTCTCTGTCCCCTGATGTTGTTCCTCTTTATTTTTGCTTCCTATTTTTTGGTCTTGTGTTGTACGTGTGTGTTTTTGTTTGGTTTGAGGTTTTGTTTGTTTGTGTTTCATTGCTTTTGTTGTTTTGTGGGTTTTGTTCAGCTGGTTTGTTTTGTTGTTGGTTTTGTGGGTTTTGTTTGGGGTGTTTTGTTTTGTTTTGTTTTCCCATGAGAGAGATATTACCGTTTCAAAACTTGCCTAAGTTTTGCTTTTTCACTCCCTTTAAAAATTAGTTATTTACCAGACTAAGGGCTTCTTAAGCCTGGCTGCAGTATCTAAGTATCAGTATGTGTTGCAAATTGATTAACTGTTGTTTCACAGCACAGATAATGGAAATGTAATTAAAAATCTACTCTAATAATTTAGTGATTCTAATGACATATAGATAAAAAATGTATTTCTCCTGTTAGGTCTGACAGTTTTGTAGTGCAAACCCTACGCAGAGAGCAGTAGTTACAAACTTACTACACAACAAAACAACAATATTAAGTGAAATGCCCACATTTTAGTTAATGTAGCATCAAGGCAGAAAGAGAACTAATTTAGTAATAACTCTGTGTTTAATCTATTTCTGTTTTGCAGGTACCCACTCTGTGTGCTGCAAATGAAAAACGGAGCTGTCCATCTCTGTGTCCACAATAGTAAATTATATGTGAACTCACTGCTTATTTGCTCTGAGTGCCACTTGTTTGAATCTTTCTTTAAAGAGCTAGGAGGAAGCAAATTACTTCTTAAATGGATGAGACACGGTCAAAAAGCAAATCAAAGATATGCTGCAATCCAGACAGGCCAAACTGAATTGTCTTGTATCTTGTTAGCGATAAGGCTCTTACAAAGTAAGCTAATTATCACTGGTGTAAACTAGATCAGAGGATCAAGAAATAAAGAACGTGAAGAAAAGCAGAGGTGATCTCATAAATGGTTCATGCCAAATTAAGCCTTGTTGTTTAAGATTCTTGCCCTGGTGTCTTGCAAGGTAAACAACAACTTTCTTGAAATCTTTAAAGAGTATTCCTTTTGTTTTACTTCCTCCCTCTTCATTCCCTCCAGTATCCTGCTGGGTTTTACCTATGCAGGAAAAACACACCTTGAGAAGGTATAGTAGAATAGGGTAGTCAGTAGGTAGAGTAGAGCAGAGTAGTTCCCAGCTACTTTTTCTGTTCTCTGTGTTCTTAGAGAGCTGGATGTGTACTTTGCAATGGATTCAATTCAAATGGCTCTTTTATGTACAGCAGCACTGACATTTAGCTACAATTAAGGATTCCCTTCTTGAGACCAGTGGATGGTATAATATTTTTCCTGGAGGCTAATAGCTTGAGTTGATTCTAGCACACACTTGAAACAGATTTCATTTATTTCCTGGTACATAATTAAGAGTAGCATCAGTAACACCAGACATCCCTTGAGCCTCTTTGCTGGAGGGATCAATTAGGGACCCAGGCCTTTCCTCAAAAAGAGGTGGATTTGATTTTTTTTTGCAAGCTTGCCTGACTGCTTGTATCCTGAGGGCTACAAATCCATGGCCCATGTCCACCCTTCTGCCTTTCAAAACGACTTAGAAGTGTTGCCTAATTATCTCCTAATATTGTGTGGCTGACTGAGATGGTGCATGTGCCAAACTGCGGTGAAGTAAGCCCCGGTTTTCATTTAGAAAGGAGACTTCCTTAAGAAATTATTTAAATAAGAAAAAGGAGTGTAAAGATGAAGTGTCTAATGGCCATCCTGTGAACC